ATTATCTGTTTTCAATTTCCGCCACATTTTCCACACACAAATTTGCATGTGTACGGCAAACCGAAAATAAAAGAATGAGATGGTACAATTTGGGTATTTCTCCTCCGTTTGTTCAACATGATATGTAATTTAATTCCTATTCAGAAAACGCGAGCGTGCCACAAAAGGTGTGTGTATACACACATATGTACGAGTATATAGTAGGTGGCACAAAGGGTGTCTGAAACATATATATTAAGTATGCAAATCAGAGTGTGTTCAGCCATTTGGATTTTGTAGGCGATGCCAAGGCGCCGGGTAGCGTAAAAGCTGATGACTTGGAAAAGCTGTGATAAGTGGAAAAATCGAAAGGGAAATCAGCGGACTTCGTTGGAATTTGCAGGATGTGGAAAACGCCCTTTAATTGCTTATTACTTTTCCGGCTAATTTTTCACTTTGCTTCATAAGCATAAACTCGACGGCGGAATGGAAATGAGCACCATGAATTTATGCTCTCATATACATAAAGAATGCGAATTACTCTTTTTTCCCACCGCTTTTGGCCAAATTTAAGGGTCGACGGAACCTGTTCGATGGCCAACAGGTTTGAAGTGCAACTTGTTGTGTTTTGAGTGCCAAAATCCCCGACTTGAATTTGCCACTTGGCCCGCCTCGTTTTCTTGTTCTTTGAAAAACTCCGCCATCGGCTGGTGCTCGTACTTTTGGCTTCGTGTGCGTATTGCCAACAGTTCAACAGTTGTTCCAGCCGAAAAAGAACCTGCTGCCAACAGTTGATAACGGAAGGTCGTGCGGCCAGGATGCTTACCTGGCTCCTCTGAAAAACCCAACCTCCCCCCGCGGTGAAAGCGAGTTCAGGAAAAGCGAAGAGCGCACGGACTTTAATTGAATTTTCACATGGACAAGTTAATTGTGGCCCACGGCTGAAGCAGTGCAAAAGAGCTATATTAATACCAATTTTAGTGGACTACTGCTTTTTTGCGTGAGTGAACCGGAAGAGGGTTTCGCGTAACTAGGACTTACAGCCCCCGTGGGCATACTGACGTTTATTACATTTGGACTTTTACTGCCACAAATGTGTCCCCTTTCTCTTCTCACCTTATCGGCTTTATTTTCCCCTGTCTTAATGAGGATTTTATTGGATTGTGGTAAGGCTTAACGATGATCACGCGATTTCAAACAGAGTAGTAAAAATTCCTTACAATGGTAAGACCCTAAATACGACACTAAAAACTGTGATTTGCGTGCAACAAAGGGTGCCAAGTCCTTTTTTAATGCCTGCCTTTAAAAAGGGACGAAAATAATTTATTTCGGGTGTGACACTAAAATATCACATAAATATCACAGATTGATTCTAATGAAGTTGAAACACAAACGTAATTAAGCCGATTACAACAACTGGGCAATTTCTTAGGCCCCATCTATTTAAAGGTCGTGACCCGATCAATAATTGGTAGCAATCAGTGTTATCTTTTACGAGCCACGTGTCCAAAGGACCAGACCACCTGGGCAATGTGTTTTGGTAAGCCTTCCTGTGCGTAATGCGCAATTAGAACCCAGGGAAAAAACATGTAATTGCTGGTCAAGACATTATTTTGTTATAAATTTTGATAATATTTTGGGCATACTTATTTCAGCATTTGTGAAATGGCAGCCGCAAAGGGCCGCAAAAAATTGGCAGGATATTACGCAACAGTGTCAAAGGAGAGACGACCTTAGTGGAAATCTTTAGGGAAGGTCATTTGATGAATACCGCGTGAGGTGCCCCAAAAAGGGGAGAAGTGAACTGCGGAAGAAGCCAGCGAAATGAGCTGTGGGAAATTCTTTTCCCACGACAGCCAAGAAAATTTTATCGAGTGTCGCGAACGGAACCGGTAATGTTGGGAGGGCGATTGTGGGAAAACATTTCATCGGGCCTTATGCAAATTAGCAAACTGTTTAAAATAATTCACCTGCCCCCTCGGGCATTATACCAAATTAATTTTTAATTGATGCGCCTTTGAGTACGCCTGACAGCAAGGGCTCAAGTGCCCATCACTTTGCCATTGAACAGAAGAGGGTCAACAGACTTCCGGCCTGCTTTAAATTGAAAATGTCTCTTCCAGGAAAATTAGGTTGAACAAGCCAAGAGCATAAGGCGACGAGTAAACAACATTGAAAGGGTTACGACAAGTTTCCTGGAAAACAATTAGGGAGATAAAGCCTCATGTCAGGGGGATATCTGAACTTCAGTGACATATTCTTAAGCTGTTATAATATAACGACCCCTTTCACATGAGCAATTTAAATTGCAGTCCTCGCTCATCCAAGTGATTATTTAATGAAATAAGACTAGACGGCTGAAAACATTTGTCCCAAAAGACCAATCAAACAAGAAACCGTAAACACACGCCGCCTAAGTTCAGGCTTAAGTCAAAAGTCCGTTGGCACTGTAAACAAAGAGAAAGGATACCCTGCCTCCTTAAGTCAAAAGCTGTTCCCTTTACCCAGAACACAGACCCGAATAAAACATAAGCCAGAAAGCGGAACACTTTCTAAGTCAATTGGCAAAGGTAAGAAGTTCTGAGAAATCAAATGTATTGCTAAAATCATGATGATTTGACTTAATTTCTTATAATCAAGAGATAATATTTTAAACCCAGATCTTATACTTGAATAGTTGCATTAGATGGCATATACGGTTTTAAAGTATTTTGGTAAAATTTGGAGGAACTACATAAATATGAATTTTATCTAGGGGGAAACTTTATAAGCAAATGGAAATACCCTCAGCAAAGGGTATTACAAGGCATCGGCCTACAGTTGAGCTTTTATTGTGCATGTTGTCTTTTCTTGCTTTTCATTTATTTTCTTTTCTTTTTCATTAAATCGGATGCCTCTGCTCGGCGATGGTATAAGCCCGCCATAATGTGGCTGCTGTTGCCCGGCTTATGTGTCGTATGCGTAATATTCAATGTTATTTAAAAGGACAGGATGTGGGAGTCCATTTTCATAATGCATACATTGTTGTCAACCGTCTCGTTGATGGGCTATATTTTTGATGCCGCGTTGCCATCCAATATGAATTTTCGCTTTGATCTCCTTCATCCCTAGGGTCTAATAGGATACACTTTTGCTAATATTCCCTGCTTAACCAACAATTTCATTGAAAAATTTGTTATTCACTTCACCTGGCTCTCTATCCCGAAAATTTTACAACCCATGTTCCTTGTTTGTGTGAAGTCAAAAGTCTGTAAATTTTACAAATTAATGGTTTGGTCCTGGGTGACACGAATCCCGGCTGCTTTGTTCTCGAGTGTGTTTCAAGTGAATTTAATGGAAAATCTACGGCAGCACTTTTCACGCCCGTGCATAAAAAAGTTGTACTAGCTTGGAAATTTTTTTGTGTTCTTTTCTTAATCAACTTTCCCAATATTAACCTAATTCTTCAGCAACACTTAGCTTTAGGAGGCAACGTAGCTCCATTTCATTCTGAGACCATTTAAATCCAGCCTTGATTAATTTTTTGCTCAAATCTGTAGGTTTCTTCTTGCGTGCACCAATACAAGCAAATACCCGCATTAAAGTTTTACCTCAACCTAATGGTCCGAAAATTATCGCCACTCAATTAGTTGAGCATCAAAATTCAAGCCACCCAAAACAGCCACAAATAAAGCGAGATTTTCCTTTGACGTTAATTAGAAAATCTTGGCGTCTCTCATGGCTGCACTAATTGCACTCCCTCTAATCATAATCGGATCTGACAGTTTTGCTTAAAAATTGCCATTGAAAAATTGTATTCCATTGCATCCTTTGCATAGGACTACCACAAAACCAAAAAGTAAACTTCTGGCTTTCATGCGACTAAGCGCAAACTAAATAAGTTAGTGGTGCCGATGGTGTCCCACTTACTTACACACAAAAGCAAGTGGAAATTTCAACAATGAACGAAGGTCTCAATTCAGTTTTCATTCCCTCGATTTCCTCGCAACAATTTTTTACGGTATAAGGCTTGGAAATAGGTCTAATTTTGGGTTTTTGGGGATTAGAGTGGAGATGCCAGTTCCAGTGGAGGCAGCTTGTAGTACCCATAATGTCTGTGAAAATATGTTCACTTATGTTAGGTGCAACTACAAAAGATGGTTTTATTGGACATTTTGTGGCCATGTTTTAGGGTGGCTCCCTGTAGTTTTTGTAGCTTGTGACCATGATAATAAACTGAGAAATTTAATGCCGAAACAAATATTTTCACCGATTTGTTAAAGCGTATGCTATACATACGTGTATGTTTTAATTCCGCATATACTTTAATCCTGTGAACATGTTTATTTCTAGGGAAAAGTGTACAAAGAGTCATTCGAAACTAAATACATATATTGTCACGACATTCCCACTTTCCTAACATATTTTCTACAAACCCCCCAAATCAATTTACAACAATTCCGTCTGCCTATAGAATAAACATTTAGTTGCCCAATAAATTAACAAGTCTTGACAGTGTTTACACAGCAGAAGATAAATTAACAAGTCCCAACAACGTTAACAGTTCGATAAATGCCCAATTAACCACAATTCCCAAACCTTCAATGAACTCGCTGAGTTTTTGTTTATTTTTTGGAGCCACCTCAATAACGTTAGGGCAACATTTAAGCTTTGGCGCGACTCTTCAATAAAAATAAACAAAACGGAAGAGCTGTTTTCATCAGAAACGAAATACAGGCGAAATTCTATTGCAGTGCTGCCAGTGTCCGAATTGAATTTTGATGCAGTTTCAATTATACAGTACAAACTTTTCACCTGTGAAAGCTGACAGGTGCTCACCCTGAGCCATAACTCATGTCCACCCACTGAATTTGGTCAGTTGTTTGAGGGGAAGACTGAGATTGTTTGTATAGCTTTTCAATCTTATTTCGGATCATTTGTTTTTCTTGTTGTCTGCACTCTCGTTTTGCTCTGACCACTGGAAATGCTGCAGATAACTTTTTGCGAATTTTAACAAAGGCTGTAATTTATATCTTTCCATTTTAGATTGCAATGAAGCTCAGCAGCCCCTGAAGATGCATTGCACTACATAAATCAGCAGCACTCGAACTAAATACAAGGTTTGAGGCATATTATATCCCCATTAGGATACGCAACTAAAACCACAAACAAAAAGCTTTTCGGCAATGGACTTAATCGAGCAGGAATCCCGGCTGGAATTCCTGCCCGGCGCAGAGGAGGAGGCGGAGTTCGGTAAGTGTCCTCTCTAATCCCTTCAAGCAACTGGGAACGCGACTCATTCAACCGGATTAAATTGACTTGACGTATCATCAATCAAAGGCATTGACAAGTGTTTTTGCTTCTGACAGTTCGTCGTTAGTTTTTTGATCTTGAATCATTCATGATTTTGGGCTCCACCATCCACGTACTGACTTTGATATAAGGAAGCAGGTGATGCTCGAATATGCTTATGAAATTCATATCAAAGTTGGGTCTTACTATAAATATTTTATATAAAATTGATGTATATCCCTGTCCAAAGTGGCATTTATAAAACACCCTCGCCGGCTATCTAAATGCGTTTCAATTTCCTCGACGTTTACCACTCAGCAAAAACGCGAATGTCAACGGCCCAGCCACCAGTTGACTGACAACTGACACTTGAATTAATCTGCTGCTGTCAGGAATCGCGATTTTTCACAAGTTCAACACTGCAACTAATGGATCGCAGGAAGCCAAGCACACCAAACTTATTCATTCATAAAAACATGATGTTGTACTGAAGCAACCTACTAGACAACAGCTTAAATATAGCACTGGGTCAATTTATATTTAATTACTTTGCCCACGCACTTTCTCTGAGTGATATGAATATAATGCACAACTATTTTTCAATCCATTCGCAGAACGCCTGTATGCGGCCCCCGCCGAGATTGTGGCCCTGTTGTCCATTTTCTATGGGGGAATCAGCATCGTGGCTGTCATTGGCAACACTTTGGTCATTTGGGTGGTGGCCACGACCAGGCAGATGCGGACTGTGACAAATATGTATATCGCTAATTTGGCTTTTGCCGATGTGATTATTGGCCTCTTCTGCATACCATTTCAGGTGAGTTGCAACAGCCGAGCTTAATTATAATGCGGGTAATTATGCCTCTTTTTTGCGCGTATATAAAATGCATACATTGAAAATTGCTCATACGCACTGTTGAGCTGGTAAATGGATTTCGACTTTAACGCATAAATCACACAAGCCAACAACATTAGCATTAGTTTTCACTTATTTTCACCATAGATAGGTGCCCCTAATAGACACGAACACACAGTTTTTGAGCCACACACTGTGTAGGGACATCAATTTCAGCGTAATCCGGCATCAATTTAATTTCCGGACAACGAGCGCTCATGTTTGGAATTAGAAAATTGGCACGGCCTAGGGTCATCTTCTCTAAAAAGTTACGGTAATGGAATATTACCTACATCCAATTTTAATGTGATTTTCGGCTTATGTGTTAATGGGATAAATAAAGTGCTAAAAGCCATGTGAACAGTTTTCTGGGCTTTCTTTGGCATTTGAATGCGATACTGAGTAATTCTATTGTGATTATCTTCAATTGATTGCCTGGTGTCGTGGAATGCGAAAAGCAAACGCAGTTTGCTTTGAAAATACTGTTTGCTCGGAAAATGGCCAATCAATGTGCACTGGACATTTGAATAAAGTAATTGAATCGTTACTTTGTATTCAGCTCGTTTCGCAGAATACCAAAATTGCATTTCAGCTTGTTTATACGTAGCGTTTTGAGTGTAACCACCGAATCGAACAAGCGAAATAATTGTTAATTGCTAGTAAAAAAGTTGTTTGAATCTTCCTGCTAGGACTTGGCAATATAAAGTATAATAAATGGATACATTTTTAAATTATAATTATTCTTCTTACCAGAGAATGCATACGAATATAGCTCATTTCCAATTGAACCCCCCATTGAACCTTGAACTTGGCCCAAAGCCAGCCTTCACTTTGCGCACTTAATTTATATTAATCCCGCAATCAAATAGAACTTTGCTCCTCTCCCAGCCGCCAGCATGTGTCATCAATAAGCCCACGGGAAAATTGCAATTTGCGGCCGGCTTTGAGTGGAGAAAGGAGAAAGCGTGTTCTTCAAATATCCGCAGTGACCACACACGTTTCCACTCACCCCCACGCAAATCAGTGTCCAACACAACTTGGCTGGTATTTCAGCCGTTTATTTATCCTCGAAATGTTGAAACAGCCCAAATACAACACCCTCTGCAGGTTCCTGTTGTTTGTGGTCCAGTGTCCATTAATGGTGTTTGCCGTGACTTGAATGGCGGCGCAATTTTGGGTTGAATTAATCATGGCAAATCGCAGGCAGAGTGGCATGTAGCTATGCCTACACTTTCATTCAATAGATATTATTTGTGATCATTAAACTTCAGCTTTTGGCTACAGAGCAGGTACACTTTTACACATTTATTCTATACAGTCAGGTTCTTAGCAGCAAATCCTGGCATTTGTGGCAATGTGAAGCACTTTAAGCTAATATTTGCAATTTTTTTCGCCGTGCAGTTCCAGGCTGCCCTGCTGCAGAGCTGGAATCTGCCGTGGTTCATGTGCAGCTTCTGCCCCTTCATTCAAGCCCTGAGTGTGAATGTCTCGGTGTTCACGCTGACCGCCATAGCCATCGATCGGCATAGGGCCATCATTAATCCACTTAGGTGAGTCACTGGGCATCCGATCCGAACCGATTCGAATCGGCAATCATAATCATTAAAATCGGCTTACGCATACAGGGCGCGTCCCACCAAGTTCGTATCGAAGTTCATAATTGGTGGCATTTGGATGCTGGCCCTGCTGTTCGCGGTGCCCTTTGCCATTGCCTTTCGGGTTGAAGAGTTGACCGAAAGGTTTCGTGGTAAGTCAATACGATTTGCATGGATTAAATGCCTGCGACCTCAATCAAATTTTCCGCCTTGAACAGAGAACAATGAGACCTACAATGTGACGCGGCCATTCTGCATGAACAAGAACCTGTCGGATGATCAATTGCAATCCTTTCGCTACAGCCTGGTTTTTGTCCAGTATCTGGTTCCATTCTGTGTCATCAGCTTCGTCTACATCCAGATGGCGGTACGTTTGTGGGGCACACGTGCACCTGGAAACGCGCAGGATTCAAGGGACATAACGCTGCTGAAAAACAAGAAGAAGGTGAGTGCTGCACTTTGGTTTGGTATGCAAATCAGAGCGGGTTTTAATTTCCTCTTTTTGCAACGCTTGCAGGTCATCAAAATGCTAATTATCGTGGTCGTTATCTTTGGACTCTGCTGGCTGCCACTGCAGCTCTATAATATTCTGTATGTCACGATACCGGAAATCAACGACTACCACTTCATTAGCATCGTCTGGTTCTGCTGCGACTGGCTGGCCATGAGCAATAGTTGCTACAATCCCTTTATTTATGGCATCTACAACGTAAGTGTGACCCAATGATGATGATTTGTTTACGGAGTGTTAAATTTGCATTTGCCTGGCTGCGATTTGATTGACATACATCCTGTGGATCGCAGTTGCTCCCCAGGGACACGTCCTTTGCACACGCACTGAAAGGATACAAGTCCTTAAATGGGCAGTAAATTTGCGGGCGAGTAGTGGGGATTGAGGGGGGACTAAAGGTCGTCTTGTGTTTGTTTTGAAACGCTTTAGCTTGGGTGAGTCAGATATTGACTTGGGATTTTGGGAAAATTGCTTTGCGTACGAATGAATATCTCGTAAAACATCTACATATTAAACGTTTGGCTTTTTATAAAGAAGTTAAAGAGGACCTTTTCTGAGTTGGGCGTTGGAAATATTATTTTATTTCCAAAGAGTATATTTTTATATATTACTTTTGTACTTTTAGACCTAAGCTGCTGCTTCCCAAATGAGCATTTTCTATTATCTCATCAAATGAAACACAAGCATGGACGCAAAGTAAATGAAACTTTTACGGAAGTTCCACGGTCTCAAAAATCAAAGAAGCTTAGAAATGAGTCAAAAACGTCTGATTTCATTTCATTGTAAGCGAATCGATTGCCTTCCCATTTTCCTTCTTACTGATTTATTAGCATCCGCGTCACATTCTTATCAAAAATAAATTCTGGCTTACTTTGAAACATTTTCCAATTTCCTTGCGCCGTGCACCAAAAATAGCTGACAAAAAAATACTTTGTGAAAGTTAATTAAAGCAGCGCTCCACTGTTTTGCCAATAAGCAAACACCTACAGTCTAAGCCGCGGGAATTGTGAAACCACAAAGTGAAGCGAAATCCACAAAAATCCTCAGAATGGCAAAGCGGCAAACCGATGAAGGCGGGAAAACCCGTCGGCCGTTTGCTTTGACACTCAAATTGTCTGTAAAAGATAGATTGAGATCCCGAACTGCGAATGCTCGTAACTTTTTCCCAACTGGCTGGGCGTGAAAACTTTGTCAACAGATATCCCATTTTACTGCCAGCAAAGACAAATGGCATTCGTCCGCGAAGGTGGAGGTTTTCCTAGACCACATTCATTAGCCACTTTCCGCTTCTGCCCCAAATATTTCGGCCAATCCACTTAATAAAATAATTAGGCAGAAAGTTTGATTGTGCCTGTGCGGCAACAGCAAATAGCGAAGAAGCGATTTAAGCATATAAAAAACTCTGCTAAGTAGTGCCATGATTTATGCAATGCTATAATACATTTTCTTTACTTCAGTGAGTAAAGATATTTCCAGCCGCAGGCAAAATGATAAAATTGCGATGGATTAACATTAGCGTGCTCTTTTTTCTCTGCACAGGAAAAGTTCAAGCGGGAATTCAACAAACGCTTCGCGGCCTGTTTCTGCAAGTTCAAGACGAGCATGGACGCCCACGATAGGACCTTTTCGATGCACACCCGCGCCACCTCCCTAAGGTCCACCTACGCCAACTCCTCCATGCGAATCCGGAGTAATCTCTTTGGCCCGGCGCGGGGTGGGCTCAACAATGGAAAGCCGGGTTTGCATATGCCGCGAGTGCTTGGCTCCGGTTCCAACAGCGCCGCTTACAACGGAAGTAGTGGGCAGAACAACAATGTCAATGGCCATCATCATCTGCATCAAAGCGTGGTTACCTTTGCTGCCACTCCAGGTGTTTCGGCATCTGGTGGGGGCGTGGCAATGCCCCCGTGGCGCCGGAACAATTTTAAACCTCTGCATCCGAACGTAATCGAATGCGAGGACGACATGGCACTCATGGAGCTGCCATCGACCACGCCCCCCAGCGAGGAACTGGCATCCGGCGCCGGGGTCCAGTTGGCCCTGCTCAGCAGGGAGAGCTCCGGCTGCATTTGCGAGCAGGAGTTTGGCAGCCAAACCGAGTGCGATGGCACCTGCATACTCAGCGAGGTGTCGCGAGTCCATCTGCCCGGCTCGCAGGTGAAGGAGCAGGAGCAGGATGCGGGAAAGTCCTTGTGGCAACCACTTTAATTCAAACTAGAGTGGTTTAAGTTATAGCCGTGTTCCATTGACACATTCCGCAGCCAGTCCATGGATTATAGACATGTGGTGCACGGGGTATAAATGACATTCACATGTGATGTGTGTGCCAGTAAAAACGCTATCATAGCTCATTAATCACCCCCACTCGTGTAACTTGTGTGTATAAATGTTTTAGGGTCAAGCCACTACACTAACATGTTCAAATTTGATGTGTACATATTTTAGGCTTTAGTGTATAGAGTCCTGCAACTAAATGCGTCAATGGAACATGGCCATTTACCTCTGTGATTTCGTCTTAATGAATTGTGATTACAAGTCCCATTGCTGATAATTGTTGCGCAGAAGGAGATATTGAATGGGTGTGAATGCTGGTCGTGAGCCGTGTACAGTATTATAATAATGGTATCTTCAAATTGCGATCCTACGAGCACGAAGTCCAAACGTTGTAAATAATCGATTCCTTAAAGACCTTATCAAGCCAAAACTCACCAAATAAAATGTATAAATAGCTGAACAAAAAGTAATCAACTTAAACTAGCACCTGAAATCAATTAAGTAGTATTACATTAAATTATTTAAAAAGTATTTTAACATCAATCCGATTACGTATTAAATCCAACACAAGCACACAGCTGGATGTAAGCAAATGTAATGTACAATATTTGTCATTAAAAAACAGAAAGGCTAATTAATGTAATTATTATTGTATTAAACTACCAAACGAAAACGAATAAACATTTCGAGTCATTAAGCAAACAAACAAAACATACCAGTATTCTTAATATTCCTAATTACAATGCAGCACAATTATTATTGTTTATGCGCGGCCCATAAATAGCAAAATAAAAACGGTTCGCTATTTCCGCTTCACTTCGCTGCTTTCAAACTAACTGCCAGAGGAGCATTTAATGCTTGCAGTTATGGCATTCTGCTATAAATGTGCAACATAAAGAAAATATACTTTTAAGTGAAAGTACAAGTTTTTCCAGTTTTTACTTGGGCGCTTTTTACTTGAAAGATTATCGCTTAGCAGAGACTCACACCGGAAATGGGCAATCAAAAGCCCAAGATGGTCGAGGAGCTTTCAAGTTTCTTGCGGCAGCAGCAAAGACATCGAAAAGCTTTAACCCTTAAGCGGTGCCGGAGTTTTATTTTCTGCGGAAAACTGGAAACTTAGTTTCCTTGATGTTCAGTTGAGCTTTCCAAACCGAAGAGTGAGACGCCACATTCCGAATTCAAATCATATTTCCGCTATGCAGTTGGTATGGTGCTAATATGCTTAAATGCGCATCAGTAATTTAAATTATAAGCCCTTTAAAGCTCGTGGCATAATCAGCGTTTAACGATTTGGCCAGCCGTTTTTCCTAATGCCAATGCAAACAACTCCAGGCCGAATGTGGACAGGCACAATTGAACAGGAATATATGACGACTGCAGCAGGAACCACAACTATGTCGCACGGCCATGTGTGCACAGGAAGAAATACTTATAAGTTGCAGTACTTGAAAGCTGCATTTCACTATATATCTAGTTTAAAGATATGTAAGAGTAAATTCTCTATTATTTTTCATTAGTTCTAAAAATTAATCTTAATTTAATTGAAAGTCCGGCATTATTTTTGTCCGTGCATCAGTGCACGTTTTACTTGCGCCTCATTTTCGCTGGCAATCAAACAACATATGCTGCGCACTTGCTCACGCGATGAACAAGGACCAACTGCGACTATGACGGAGGATATGGACACGCACACTCACACACACAACTGCAGTTAGAAGGACACATGGTCACATGGACGTGGCCGCATTGACTGTTGATAATTGAATAATTAACATTGTTTAAAATGGCTCAACAAGCGAATGGAGAGAGAGTGAAAGAGCAGGTGGGTCCGCCGTCTCCCTTTCGCCAGACAACCGGCGCCCAGGTCATCAGGTCAAATGCAACCACAATGTCAGCCATGCCACCCCCCCCCGCCAACCCCCGCTGCCCACATTTTAAATCATATATAATGTGCTCGCTGGAAAAGTGCAGGGGTTGTCGGACACACAAATAGATATAGTATAATTGGGCTAGAAGGGATATATATCGTGTGTACTTCATATTAATATAATTGACTTGCGGTGGGAAAATCTTTTCGATACATGTCTGCCGTTTATTGATTAAAATTTTAGTTTTTAGTCGCATTGAAATTGAAAACTTGTCAATGCGCTTTTTACCCTTGAAGTGAACGGTTCGATTTTTTAAAAGCCAACAAAATCAAAATTTCAAGTCATGCACGAGCCAAATGCTAGTAAAAGTGTGTAAAATATAAGTTAATGATTCATATTATTGGCTTACTGCTAAGCACATTTAGATTTAGCCAAACCTTGGATTGTGATATAACACTTGTACCCATATATAAAAGTATCTGAAAGTGTGCACCGCACACTCGTGTACTGCAATATATTGTGGCATACTTTTGGAAACCTTTAGGGTTATCCTGGTGACTCTGCTAATCACTTGACGCAAATTTATTCCAAGCTGCACGTAATGGCCCCCAAACTGATTGGCTTTAAATGTGTTCCTTAATACCCCCAATAGCTGCTCGCAAGGCCTTTTCGTCCACCAGCTCCTCGCGCCGCAGCAGCAATGGGTGTGCCAGTGGCCACGATGTGGAGGAGGACGAGGAGGAGCAGCTCTTCCAGGAGGCGTCATCCAGTACGAGAACAAACAGCGTCGATGGGAGCGGCACCGCCTTCAGCAGCGCTGTCAGTGCGACACCGGTTACGGATTTCTATAGCAATGCCACCGTACTCATTACGGGCGGTACGGGTTTCGTGGGCAAAGTGTTAACAGAGAAATTGCTTCGCTCGTTTGGATTGCGTAAAATTTACATGCTGATACGCAGCAAGGACAGCATGAGCGTGCAGGAGCGTTTGAAGGGCTTTTTCAATGAATCGGTAAGTGTCAGGACAGGATGCGGCAGCCTGTCAGGCGCCCATACCGTTCCATACCGTTCCATAGCGTTGGCCAGGACAATATCGGATAAAATCCCAACCCACTGCTCCGCACAGATATTCAATAGGATGCGCGAGGAGTCACCGCAATTGTTGGAGAAGGTGCATCCGATACGCGCTGATTACAGTGCCATCGACCTGGACATTGATGCCGCCGACCGAGCAATGCTCTCGTCTGAGGTCCAGGTGAGTAACTTTTGTTGGCACTCCATCGGGCCTTCCACCATCGCCAGTTTCAATCCACCGCAACCGCTCCTCTGTCGGCAATTCAATCAATGGACTTTTTGTGTGAGAAACTTTTCATGGGTCTTTGTTGTGTTTGCCTATCTGGATGGCTCCCCCGATTCCTGTCTGCTATTATCTATTTACACTACGAATAAATGGGGCAAGCATCGTAATCGTCAGGAAATTTCGTAGTCAGTATACTTACTATTAAAGAAGCACATAATCCCACAGATTAGGGTTCACGACTATTTTGTGCAGCTGGCACATTTAGCGTAGCGAAATTTCTTTCAGTGCTCAGCCATCCCTAGTTGGCGCATTACGTATACGTAAAACGTTGCATGCCAAAGGCAGGCTCAATGTTTACGACAACAGCAGCCAGGCAGTCAGTTCATTTCCTTCGCTTCTCGCCACTTTTTTCCTGCTCTGTTTTGCTGATCACTAGAGGCACACGATATGTACATGCATGTATTTGTATATATTTTCTACTTTTGAACAAAAATTGAAAACCCGCCGCCGACGTAAAACTGTGAGAATGTGTGTTGCTTCGCCTGCTGGTGGTTATAAAACACAATATATAAATAAATGAAAATTCCTGTGCATGCTTCAAGTGCCCGGCATGCGCGAGCCATTGTCCTGCCATCCGGGCGCATCCGCATCCGCATCCGCATCCCCATCCGCATCTGCATCCTCGTCCACATCCGTTGGTCGTTTTTATTTTCCTCAGCTTCCCGTGCTGTTTGCGAGAGCATTTTGCATACAAGTCACTCAGGCCTGGACGGTCTGCTTAGAGTCGCTTGCACTGTTTTAGCTGAAATTGCTTTGTTGCCGATGTTCAATGCACGCGTGGCACTGCAGGATTCCCGCCTCAGCGTCCTGTTTCCAGGACCTGCTCCATATGCCACCATATGCATTTTGGAGGCTGTCTTGGAGCGCGGAGCAAACCCAATTCCCCACCAGATCGCCGCTCATTTAGCATGCTTGAAATATTATTATTATTAATACCATTAACAAGAAATCGAATAGTGCTATATGTCATGAACTAATACCAATTGGCTGGCTGTGAAATAATTTTAAGCACATAATCTTCGCAAAAATAGTTCTAAGACATCTAACATCCATAAGACACCAGATATTTGGCATCACTGACTGCTGCTGCTTTGTATGCGAGTCTCATGTGAATTTTGCATGAGCATTTCTGTGTTACTGGGCTCGCCCCTTTTTGTTCTTTTCATTTTTAATATGCATTACAATTCCTGGGTCTGGTTTATCCTCGCCTGTAGATTGTCTTTAATGTGGTGGCTTCGGTGAAATTCAATGAGAAACTGAGCGACGCTATTGATATTAATGTCCTGGGCACGAAGAAGATACTCGACTTGGCCATGGAAATGAAGCACTTGAAGGTAAGGTGATTGAAAACAATACATTCATAAGTCTTACCACTGAACCAAAATAGAACAAAAATTATAATGATGCCTTGGTGGAACAAACCAGCCCGTATTCCTGTCTGAACCCACCAATGTATCAGCAATCAATACGTCGGCATTCAATACCGATTCCATGCATATCATTTAAAAGCCTATTAAAGGCTTCCACCGACTTTATATTCCACCCACCATGTTTGGCAGTGGCCGCACTTCCATTAGTGGAAATAAACAATGGTTAAATAAAGGTTCAATATTCGCATATCGTGCTTTTAAGTAACCAAAATACATAATTCCCGCTGCTGAATAAATGCAAAAATATTTCCCCCCAAACTCACCCTTTTTCCAACTATTTGGGTGTTTCATATTTTACGGCGTTGGCGGGCAAACAATTTCCAACACAATTCAATCAACATTCAACATGCGTGTTTCCCTTCCGATTGCAATGGTCCCGCGTGGAAAAACATAGTCCTTCGTGCACATTTCAACACTCTACTGCAATTGCAATCGCAAATTCATCAAGGAACAAGTGTACGAGAACGAAATTGGCTACGAAAAAATCATGCAGGTTGGTGATGCAGGCATAAAGTTTTTATTTTACAAAAGAAATTTGTATACCATGCTAATAAAGGTATTTCAAACTCGAATCTTAGCACGTAGCAGACTAAGAGCACTTACAGATATGAAAGATTATTCTGGTTTTTCTTAAAAAACTTAACTTTTATTTTAGTTATCTTAAGCTGGTAGACTTCTCACCCGCATTCCTACTTCTGCAGATCTATCGCACATTCGACGACGAAACTCTGGAGAAGATGCGCCACTGTCTGATTGGCCAGATGCCCAACACCTACACGATGACCAAGAAGTGCGCCGAGAATCTGGTGAATCATCGGGCATTCCACATGCCGGCGGGTATTTTCCGACCGCCCATAGGTGAGTCGGTTGGGCGGAAGGAATATTTATTGCGGTGCAGACTTGACTTAACAAACTAATTGTCAGATAATTAGCACAAATACCCAGGGGCAGGCGTTGTGTAAGCAGAAACACACAAGAAACATTCTCAGCTCCTTCCATTTCGAGAGAGATCCCCCGAGGATCTCTGCGGAAACAAAGGG